CATCCTTTGTTGGAAGTTGTACGCATATCACATAGCCTGTTTCTCAGTTAACAAGTACATTGCTGACCTCCTTGAGCATGTACATCTTGGTGGTGTTAAACCTATTTCTACACCTACAACAACATTCTTCCTCTAGCTTGGTAGACCCTTTCATTGATGCCTCACTTTATAGACACACTACTAGAGCATTACAATATCTATCCTACACTCATCCAAACATCTCCTATGTTGTTAGTGAAGTTTGCCAGACCATGCATTCTCCCCTTATTAGTGATTGGGCTATAGTTAAAAGACTACCTCAAGAATACAACTAGTTTATCTATAGTGCCATCCTCGTCCCTCTCTCTCAATGTATATGTTGATACTGATTGGGCTGGGTGCAAAATTGGTAAGAAATCTCAAATGATCTTTTTTGTCTTTCTTAGTGATAATTTAATATCATAGGCCTTTAAGAAGTAGCCTACCATCTCACAGTTGAGCACTAAAGCCGAATATCATAGCATGGTTGTCGTTAGGTTTGAAGTTCTATGGTTGAAGTCATTGTTTCATGAGTTAGGACTCTCGCTCTTTTCCACAATACTACTTTGTGATTACATTGGCACCATGTACTTGACTGCCAATCTAGTGTTTAATGCTATGACTAAACACATTGAAATTGATGTGCATTTGTCCTCATCATGTTGCTACTAAGACCTTCTTAGTTTGGTACATCTCCACAAAGGATCAACTTGCTAATGTGCTCACCAAGCCTATTGGCCATGGTCAGTTTTAGGTCTTGCACAACAAGATTTAGGTGGTTTCTCTGATCCTCAGTTTAAGGGGGGCTATGAATCAATCCATCAATGATACAACTAATCCTCAACCAACTCTCAAGCCTATCATCTCGTAGTTGTACTCAACTAGGACTCTCTATGTTTAACTTATCTTTTGTACAAGAACTCTATAAATACCAAAATATACTCAATATACAGTTATCGAAGATAACTTCAATCCGTTGCAAGTCTTATAGTGTTTGATTCCATTGTTATAATTGTACTTCTATTGGAGGTAAGTTGCATTTAGTGACTGGTGAAACAAGTCTTATAATTGTACTCCTTTTGGAATTATTTATAATATGAGTTCGACAATATCCTCCATTCTTATGGTTGTGATTGTAAAAAAATGCTAATGCACTTGTTCTTCTAGTATTCTTATGCTCGGTTTTCTTGGCTTGCTTAGTAATATAGTAGTTTAATTTAGTAGAATATAAGAAAAAATGAGTTTATGACTGACTTTTTTTTTTACTGTTGTAAGTTGTTTCCTTAATTGTTAGAGTTTGGAACTTTGGTGAGTTTGGAAAGACAAATAGACACCCCACCAACTACACACTTTACAACCATGGACAACAATCATTCTGATTTTTGACTTTGTAATTCTCACTCGGGAAGTGAGAGAGGAGTCTTTCTTTTTTGCAACTCTTTAGTTCCTAAACTTCGTAACTATGTCTTTCCACTATTTACATGTTTATGACAATTTTTTTTATTATGTTAACATGCTAATTATATGAATTTAAAAGCATCCAATAGGTTAGAATAAAATGTTCTACAACAAGAAAAAAGCAAGCACTTGTAAAAAGACACCAACACAATGTTAGGAGGGGGAGATTGAACAATCAATCTTTATATGTCTACTTTCACATTAAATAGTCAATCCCTATATGTATGTTCATTTTTCACATTAACATACTCCATTAGAAAAATGCACTTTCCATATCCATTCACAATCATCTCAACAAGAACCTACAAAAGACTTCACTTGAGATCTAAAACAACAATGTTGTAATGAAGCCATTTACCTAAAAAAAAGGAAGCAACTAGTGACCATAGGGTGATATTGAAAATGTGGTTGTGGGTTAAAATGTTTATACAAAATGTTTTTTTAAGAAATGGAAAAAGATATGAGAACAAAGATGATAATTTAAAGGAAAATAAAGGGTAAAATAATCTTTTTGATCTTTTTATTAATGGTTAATTAATTAATTGTCATAAGAGTACTTTAAGGGATTTTTAAAATAGTAGGGGGTAGGATTAATCAATTTCCTAAAACTTAAGGGTAGTTTAAGAGAGTTCATTAAACTTAGGGATGACAATTTCTACCCTACCTGGTGGGTGCCTACCTCAATGGGTGGGCTTTTTTCTTGAAGGACAGGTTTTGGGATCTTACAACCCATATGGGTATGGGTAGGGTTTGGTATTAGGTTAAACCCGACCCTCCCCCACCTGCATATTGTTGGAAAGCATATAAATTTTATGTATTAGCTTAGTGTTGAATTTAAGAATATTCTGAATTTTATGTGAAGGACTATTGATAGTTTGTGTTTTTAGCATGTTTTAATCAAACAATTGGAATTTTTGTTGTTAATTTGTGTTATTTTACTTATTTATTACTTACATATAATAAGAAATACATAGGAAATTAGATGACGGTTCTAAATCCAACCCATCTTGCCCTTGAATACAAGGAGGGTAAGGTTGAGAGGGTTTTACATTTCCATTTGCACAAAGGGTTTAGATTCTCAAAGTTTAACACCCACAGGTTTTGGGACCAATATGGCTTAGGAGGTTTAGGGAAGTGGATAGGGTGAATTGGAATCTTCTTGCAACAAAATACATTCCACCCCTCTATCAACTTGATCTAACACCGTACATCTCACTATAAGACCAGGATCCACCATATATGAGATGTGTAGTGTGAAATCATGGTGGTGGGTTGTTGGAATGGATTTGTTGGCTGTTAATCTAGACTCGGATAAGGTCTTGTTATAAAAACCCTCCCCATCTGGGATGCCCTGAACATGTCAATTTTTATATTCGAAATCCCCTCAAGATGTTATGTTTGTCACAATGTTTTTAACCTATCGTTGACCCAATCGGTTGAACCTTTCGAACCATCACCTGGCCAGGATTCCGGGTTTGGTTCTGTTAAAACCCATCAATCGATCAAAAACCATTGACTTGGTCAAAATCGTTCGACCTAGTTGGTTCAACCGTTGACACGTTCGACTCGGTCATTGGGTCGTGGGTTGCACACTCAATGCATACAAACTTTCGGAGGCCATGACTTTGCACTCCGATATCCAATTGGAATCTTTTTTTTTTTTTATTTTAGATAACTTTTCAAGATCTATGCATCCCTTGCCCCATTATTTTTGTGAAAAAAATCCCTTTTTTGCCCTCAAATCACAATTTTTAATATTTTATAAAAATAAAAAAGTGAATTAAAAACATAAATTAAATATAAAATAACACATATAATATATCTAAAATATAATTATACATTAATAAATATGTACTTAATTTGGACGGTCCAACCAGTGACTCGCAACCCGGAGGCAAAAACAGTTCGGCCTCCGGGTCGGTTTGTAAAACATTGGTTTATCATGATGTACGAGGGTTTAGAAAGAGTACAAATGAAAATATGTAAATTGTAAAGTACAAATGTATATAAAATAGGGTAAATTTCTTATACTACCCTTGTGGTTTAGGTAAATTCTCCGATCTTGCATGTAATCCCACGTGACTTATAAAATTTTTTCAAAACCTAATATTACCCCTCGTCGCATGAACCCCCCCACTCTCTCTCTCTTCATTCTTAGATCACCCCTTCCACCTCTGCTTCTCTCTCAGACTTCCCCCTCCGCCTCTGGTCTCTCTCCCCTTCTTTTTCTTTTTTTTAAGAAGAAAAAGAAGTGGAAGGAGAGAAAGGAAGAGAGAGAATAGAGAGAAGAGTTGTTAGAGAGATTGAACTTTTCCCTAAAATGCTCAGCGGATTGAACTTTCTCCAAGACCTTGTAAAAACTAAAAATTTTGGAATGGAAAACTAGAGGTTTCCAGCCAGACCTCCTCTGTTTAAGTTCAATGGAGCTTTTGAAAAGAGGTCAGAACTCAGAAGAACTGTTCCTCATAAAATGTACAGGAGAAACAGAACAAGCAAAAGCAAATCTCACTATCTTCCGTAATAACGGCGTCCAAATCAAACCTTCAAATGACAAAACCAAACTATGAAGTAATTGAACTTCAAGAGCTAAGCAGAGGAAATGAGGTGGTTTCAGATTAAAGAAGAAAACGAGGAAACGACTATCACAAGAATCATCCACAGGAATTTAGCTTGGCAAATTCATGTCCAATTAGGACGATCAAATCACAGAAATGTCATGGTAGAACAAGTCCAAATGGAATATAAGAACCACTGTCGAGACTGATTGCTACGGTATTAGCAAAGCCAAATGACATTAATCTGCCTGAATTTGATCTCCGAAGACCTCTGATAGCAAGGCCTTAGCAGAGTAGTAAGCAGACCCAAATTCAAAAGAAATCAAAATCCAGCTCAATACAGATGTGTTGTTATCGAAATCTGTCTCGCCCCTTTTGAATTCAACCACAAATTTTGAAGCCAATAAATACGAAGATGAGAGACAGAAGCGCGAAGACGAGAGAAAACAAGGTTTTGAACCGCCTCAGCGGTTACGAGACAAAGTTGAAAGCAAGTTAATTTTGAACCTCTTGTTCACCGCCGCTCGTCGCCTCTGGTTCACCTCTGTTGCAGCAGCAGATCTGAACATGGAGTGCCGCTGCCTAGAGGAAGAAGAGAGAGGGGTTTCACAGGGGTTGCTGCTGCCGTCGCCGTCGCCCAGAGGAAGAAGAGAGAGAAAGAGAGAGGGGTTTCACAGGGGGTTTCCACTGCCGTCGCCGTCGCCGTCGCCCAGAGGAAGAAGATAGAGAAAGAGAAATGGGTTCAAAGGGGGTTGCCACCGCCCCTATTCGGTTCACTCGTTCTTTGCTTCTTCAACAAGATAGTTTACGGGAGCTAACGGTAAAAAAAAGTATTTAATCAATTGCGAGAAACAGCAAGAATAGTGTTAGGATACATTTAGTCAATTAACTAAATAGTAAGGGGTAATTTAAAAACTTTACTATAAAATAATACAAAATATACTGTATTTGTACTCCTTCCAACCTCAACCTAATTTTTTTTCTTCCATTCAGCAGAGTGGAGTTCAAAACTCAGGAACGATTGGAGATTGCTATCACACTCTTCCGTTGACAGAGGTAAGTTTTCATCAAAACCCCTCGTTTCTCCCTCAAGAATGTTTCTTCTTCTTTGCGCCAGAAGGCTAAACCAGGTTAGGAGTGCTGGAGATTTTACCAATCACATCCATCTCGATTTTATCCAAAATCCTTTTCTGAAACGCTTCTCAACCTCAATAGATGGACGCTCTTTCACAGTATCCTACCTCATAAACTCATGTGGGTTGTCAAAGGAAGCCGCTGTATCTGCATCCAAGTGGGTCCAGTTTGAATCCTCGGACAAACCAGACTCAGTCCTTTCCTTCCTTAGAAGCTACGAGTTTACCGATACCCAAATCTCTAGAATCATCAGAAATCGGCCGATGCTTCTCATTCTTGATCTTGAGAAAATCCTTAAGCCCAAATTTGCGTTTTTGTATTCTGTAGGATTTTCTCCACCTGACCTTGCAAAGATAATCTGTTCCGACTCGAGTATATTGACGTTTAGCTTAAAAAACCAAATTATGCCTTCTTTTGAGTATCTTAAGGGCATAGTTCATACAAACGACAATGTCGTCACTGTTCTCAAACGCTTGAAGTGGGCTTTTAGATCCTGCCACTGGAAGCATATGGACCACAACATCGCGACTCTTCGTGATTATGGTGTGCCTGAACGATTCATCTTGAGCGTTATAAGGTCTCAGCCTCAGTCACTTACTCGTCCACCTGATCTGTTCAATAAGAGTGTCAAAGAAATTAAGGATCTCGGATTCGACCCTTCAAAATCAGTTTTTGCTCGAACAGTTTCTATAATAACATTAAACAAAAAATCAACGATTGAAAGAAAGTTGGATATCTTTAAGAAATTTGGTTGTTCTGAGAGGGAGATAATCTCAATGATAAAAAAGCATCCATTTTGTCTGGTGCTGTCGGAGAAGAAGATACTAAGAGGGATGGATTTTCTGATGAACAAAATGGGCTTGGAACCGTCATTTATTGCCAACAACCCAATACTTATCTGTTTTAGTTTAGAGAAGAGGATAATTCCATGGTATTCAGTAATACAAGTATTGCTATCAAAGGGACTTATCAACAAGGATATCAACGTGGTTCAAGCTCTCAGGTTAAGTACTAGAGGTTTCATGGAAAAGTTTGTGATTAGATACCAGAAGGAAATTCCACAACTAATGAAGATATATGAAGGTGAGATGGACTGCTTGGAACTAATCAATCGATCTGAAGAAATGGACAACTGAAGAAGTTTTAGTGTGTTCATTTTACAATTTTGCTTAAGATATTCAATTCCCAACAGATCTCAGTTTGATAACATTCCCCTTTTTGTGCTTCACTGAAATTGCATTCAACACCATTGTGCTTTTCTTACAACCTCGCCTTTAATGAGCAAGAATAGAGGGTTAAATGCATAGAGATTGAAGGCCATGGAGACAAACAAATGACAAGGAGAAAAAAGTCCTATGTAGTGTCTTTGGATGAAAAAGAGTTAGGCAGTAGGCACTCAGATACTGTTGTAGCTCAGAGCTTTCTAGTTGGTTATGCATGATGCTGAGTCTGAGGCCTAAAGTTTGGCTGATAATGATCAGCTTTTAGTTCCTCTTTTCTACTCTATGTCGCTTTATATCTTTCATATATTGTTTGTGTGAATATCTGACCATGCATTGCCAATGTTATACAAACTGTGATATCTCATCCAGAGACAGCCAAAGCTCATGAAGGTACAAGCTGGTGCAGCTTATTGAATCAGTTGATGTATTTATTGCTGAAGATTATCAAAAATGTAGTTACCACCGAACTGGGATTCAATCCTGTCGTCATCTTCCCCACTCCACCCAAAAGTTTGCCTAGCAAACGTAAAGACAAGACAAAGTTCACAGGAATTGTATGCAAAAGATTGCTTTGTTCTGTATATTTGTCAAGCAAGGTTCTCATATTCTCAGTGTGATTACAGTTTTGAAATTGAGCAAGAACTTCATGGAGTTCCTAACCGATTACCAATGGGAAGTCACTGGCCTTGAGGAAACTGGTGCGTTGTGGAATGTAGACTGTTAGCTTTCAATTGTATCTGCAATTTCCAATTTGATACAGTATAAGGGGGATTGACTCTTTGCTCAAATAGATTGACCCACTGCTTTTCTTCGTAGGTTTCTCTCTTCTAAGCAAATGATTTATCATATATGTGAACTTGGCAGGGTCCTTTTTGATCTACATTGTCTTGCGCCCTTGATTGCTAACATGAATTATATTAGTAATATAAGTTCCCCTGTTTTGCACTTTCGTGAGATGATATGCTGTTTGGACCAAGAAGGAACCCATCTTCTCATAGCTCCAGCAAAGTTGAACCTCCTTTGCTTGTTGTGGGATGAAAATATTTTGAATTTGCATGAGACAATGCTATGGAACGAGAAATTTTGAAAAATTGCACTTGCTGCTCTTAATATCATTGTCTATCAACTAGTTGGTAAGGTCTCTTGCTGGCCGTAGCAGAGACTTGGGATTGAATCTCGCCTACACCTGGATTGGGGGATGGTCTATCCCCTGCTGTGTAGCCCTTCAAAAGAAATCACAAAAAAAATCATTGTCTATCAGCTCTGATACCTAGACAATTGTACATGCACTTGGATGATCACGATAAACCCATAAGTTATATGTAGGGAATTCATGGATCTTCCCTAACATTCACTTCGAACTTCCGAGCTTTTGATTGCAGGTCTCCCTAACAGCCGAGGTCTCCTTCAGTTGCCGAGGTTTCCCTCAACTCCTGAAGTGCTGAGCCAAGGTCTCCCTCAGTAGCCGAGGTGTCGAGCCGAGGTGACACCTTATGTACATATATACTCAATTAGGCTCATGAGCCTCACGATATGAGCTTTATTAAGTGCAAGCTCGGCTCGAATAGCAAACGAGCCCATATATTAGGCTTGAAGCTTGGTTTAGACCAAGCTGAGCTGATCTCTAACAGCTCATGAACAGCTCGGCTCATGGCCATCCCTAGTTAGGGCATATATTACCCTAACCCAACCTAACTTCAAGATGGTGACTCCATTCCAAGAACTTCCTCTAACTGCTGATGATGTATCAAGGTGAGGGATCATTAGTCAATAGAATTGAAGAAATAAGTGGGATGAAAAAGTTGGAAGATTGAAGATTGACTACACGGATTTTCAGAAACCTACAACACCTGGTTTGTTATTTGCTACCCTTTATATTCATAAAATTTCTTTTATCATCGTGGTATTTCTACAATTCTACTACATTCCAGTTTCTAATTCTAACCCATGTTACCAAATCCTCTAGATCTATTTTTGTTTTTTGAGAAGTGATGAAATTTCATTAAAAAAAGAGAGAAAATGTTGGAGGGGGAGAGATTTCCTCACCAGCTACAAGAGAAAGAAAAAACTACAAAAAGAATATCAACTCATAACATCATTGCTCCACAGAATTCTCTCCCACTTATCACAGGCTTCCCCAAAACTCACACCCTTGAAAAGATTGCTAACAGAAACCCAACTGAACAAAGTTCTTAAGTTCTTTTGAACATTGCACACACTTTCTCAACAGGATGAGAAAAATCCTTAAATAAGCGCCCGATCCTTCTTTCAAAATGCACCAGTAGATCGCCAAAGGGGTAAGATTCCACAACATCTTGCTCCTTTTAGAAAAATCCTTCATATAACAAGTGGAAAACAATGCCACAACAATCCTTCACATGAAGGTGAATATAAAAGAATTTTTCATTAAAAGAAAAACAACAGTACATAAAGTGTTGGTGACAAGACATCACCCAATACATGCAAAACAGAAGCAAAGCAAGACAAAGACTAAAATAGGGGTGGATTCGAGCCTAGTCGAGCCAAATACTTGGCTATTTGAGCTTGGCTCGCTGAAATTGTCTTTAGGCTCGAGCTCAAGCTCGATTGGAGCTAGAGACTTGAGCTCGAGCTCAACTCGGTTCAAATTTCGCAAGTTCAAGCTCGACTATAAGCCAAGTTTTTCTAAAAAATAAAAATACTATTATATATTATAAAAATTATTTATTATATATTTATATATCTATATGTATATGTATGTATGTATGCATGTATGTATGTTGCATATACATAATAAAAAATTATTTATTTATTATACTTGGCTCGTGAGGCTCACGAGCTGAGCTTCATTGGGCTCGAGCTTGACTCAATTAGCAAATGAGCCTATGTATTAGATTCGAGCTCGGTTCGAAGCTCGATTTAAATAGAGCCAAGCCGAGCTTTTCACGAGCCGAGCTCGAATAGCTTGTGAGAAGCTCGGCTCGTGGCCACCCCTAGTCTAAAATATAGTTCAATACATCTTAAGGGTACACACCAAAAGTTATCCCCAAATCGTCTCTTCTAATCCCCTAAAAGTTTTGAAGACAGAGACCCAATCAACCAACCTTGAACTTATCCATGCATACAATTTACTTCCATTGAAATAATTATCTATTCCTTTTCTTTCCACACCTCCCAACAATAGCAAAAGATACGCAGCTCCTGAAGGTCTTTGCCTCCTTATCGTTGTTGATGACTGGTCACCATGCAAAAAATTCTCTTGGATGTTTAAGTGATCACATTTCCAACTTAAACAATTTGAAAAAGAAAGCCCAAATGCAACTGGTGTAGCTGCAGCTGAAACATAGGTGCAACACTTTCTGTATCTGCTTCACAGAGATAACATTGATTAACCAACGGCAGACCCCTATTCAATCGATAATCTTGGGTTAGGATGCTGTCCAAAGCCACCAAACAAGCAAAAGCCTCCACTCTCAGTGGAACTGAATTACTCCAAATGCCTCTTATTTGAGAACTCCCCACTTGATTTCTTAGTAAACCTTTAAAGAAAGATTTAATGGTTAATCTACCATATTTACTCTCCTTCCACCACCTCACATCTTGTCTCCCTTGATTTTACTCCACTCCTTGAAGTCTATCCAGGCAAGCACTCATCAAAAAAAAAAAAAAAGTCTATCCAGGAAAGCAAAAGCCTCCACTCTCAGCGGAACTGAATTACTCCGAACGCCTCTTATTTGAGAACTCCCCGCTTGATTTCTTAGTAAACCTTTAAAGAAAGATTTAATGGTTAATCTACCATTTACTCTCCTTCCACCGCCTCCAATCTTGTCTTCCTTGATTTTACTCCACTCCTTGAACTCTATCCAACAACCTCACACATTCTTCAATCTCCCAATCAAGAAGGCATCTAAAAAGGGGGCACTACACTGACTGACCCATTTCTGACTTTCAAACACTGAAATAATGAGACACTTTTCCTGCTAAAGAATATAGCCTCGTTTACTAAGACAACCTCTCTTTCAATTTGAAATAATTTCTTTTGTTTCTTCTTTTCTTTTATTTTTTGTTTTTCTGTTTAGTTGTATTTGTTATAGTACACATTAGGCCTCAATTACAACAATTGTTCTTGATTTTGTTAGCTGCTAACCTCTCTCCCTCTCTCTCTTGAGGTATTTTCATTTTTCTGTTTAGTTGTATTTGCTTATTGTACTTTTAGACCAGCCATTTTACTGAAGGCTTGTTGGTTGGAGAAAATCTATCTTCACTTTCCAGCAATGAGAAGTATCCAGGAAAATGGATCAAAACATTACTTTCTTGGGAAGAAAGCTCCAAGATTATATTTTTCAAAAGGAAGAGAGGCTTAGGTAAGTGGGGTTTGAGCTGCTATTTCAAACCTCCAAAGTTTTGTAATGTTTTGAAATCTCCAAAACTTTGTTCTGTTGATATGAACTATTAATGCACAGTGAGATTGGTCTGTTCTATCATAACATGCCATCAAAATGCTAATAAGAGATGCTCTTTCAGGTCATCAATTTAAGACTGTTATACAACATATGAGTTCCCACCCTGCCTTTCCGATGGATCTTTTTTTTAAGCCCATTTGATTTTTAGGTATGATGGATGCTTCACGGAATTCCTTGGTTTAAGTTGTAATTGTTATCCTCTTTTTATTTTGAATATTCACAATGTTGTTTCTTCTGACACATTTTCAGTTGAAGGGTCATTTAGCTCGAAAACCATTGAAAGAAGTACCTGATGAAACATTCACAGTATGTTGGAAAGGTCCACAACCATCCAAATCTTTCAGTGATATCAAGGGGCAGTCTGACTAGCCTTGTGACAATGACAGACGTCTGGAACTGGAACACACCTTTTCTGATTTTCTCTTTGACTGTCCATAAAGGGGCCGTCTGACTAGACAAATATTCTCTGTTTATTCAACAGCAAGGATCCTGCAACTTGTGCTTTTCAGAAATGAAGCTTCAATTCAGGAAAACTACAATGAATAAAATAGAAGATCAAATTACTTTGTCTTCCCTTTTCATGTTTCAAATACACAAAGCATTGGAGGGTAAGGAGAAGTTTATGTATGCATAACCATGAACAAGGCAGTAATGTACAGTATCACTTATTTGAAATTGTTGCTACAGGTTAGACATGAGAGGGGGAACACATCTCTCTCATTTCTCTCTCTCATTTCAGCCTATGAAACTAATACTGTACATTATTTTGGATGAGGTTTCAAATGTGTCCAATATAATAAGAAACCAAAGAATTCTTTGGTGCAGGTTGTTGCTAATTAGGTGCTGGATGTGTGAATAAGAAACCTTATGGTTACTAGTCAACCAGGGCAAGCAACAATGGTACTAAAGTGGGGCCCAAGGAAGGTTAGTTGGACTGAGCCCACATGCCTTTATGTTTTGTCCCTGGCTAGTAGAACTATATAAACAACATGGTAATTATAGACTTGGATTGGAAATCAATTGAGATCACTGTTCACCCAAAATCCATGGTGGCAGGGGTTATTCAAGATTTTTTAATCTTGGTTATTCAAGATTAGGGTTTTGTGCACCACCATGGGCATGATCTTGGTTATTCAAGATTTTTTAATCTTTTTTCACTGCACTATGATAATAAGGATCCACTAGAATCTTTCAATGGTATCAGAGCCATCATCCATGCTAATGCACTAGACCAAATTTTGATATTTGTATGCGATTTAGGGTTTCCTGAGGATTTGCTACATTAAATCAAATCTGTATGACAGGTATGTCGTTTTGTTACATAATTAGGGTTTTGTGCACCACCATGGGCATGATCTTGGTTATTCAAGATTTTTTAATCTTTTTTCACTGCATTATGATAATAAGGATCCACTAGAATCTTTCAATGGTATCAGAGCCATCATCCATGCATTAGCACTAGACCAAATTTTGATATTTGTATGCGATTTAGGGTTTCTTGAAAAACCCCATCAAGATTTCAACTTGATGGTTCTTGGTGTTTCTTGGATGCCAAGATTTCATTTGATATATGGACCTTGCTTCCAAAATGTTAAAGGAGATGATTTTTACAGTTTTCTTGTTTCTGTTTTGTTCCCAAACAAAAATATATAGCAGATTAAAGTTTCCATTTTTTGTTATGGAACAAATGGAATGTTTGAAGAATTGAACAGATTCTATCTTGGTGGTTTATTCAAATCAGTTTTCTTGTTTAATAAGAACTCAAATCTTGGACTGATTGGATGCTCTTGGATTGATCATATCAAATCTTGAAAGGGTACTCCCAAAACTTGAATTGTGAATGAAAGTCAATCACCCCTATGTCAATGAAAATAAGATTTTATTGATTCTATGTTTATGAAAATATGATTTTATTATTTCAATATTAATGTCCTACCATGCGAAGATGTGAAAAAGTGAAAGCCATGAAAGAATAAATTCTTTGTAGCATACTAGGGTGGTTTCCACAACGCTAGGGGTGCACAACATCCCCATGGGGATGAACACACATACCTTGGAGCCACAAGGAATACCTGAGGTTTGAGAAACCTTAGGTCGATTCATTCCTGTGTCGCATGGACTGTAGATATGAGTCCCATATGCAGTTTGGAAATGACATTTGTAGTGGGAGCATTCTATATTTGTAAATGAATAATTTCTTTTCTTAACTAAATTGCCATAACAGTTTTTTTTCACTTCTATTTATTTCGATTATTTTATTTAGTTGTGGGAAGGATGATCATGGACCCAAAGGAATTGATGGGTTCTGAGCTTGGAAAGTTTAGGACTACAAGGAAGCTGCACACATCCAAAGGAATTGATGGGTTTTGAGCTTGGAAATTTGAAAAGTGGAAGGAAATTAAAGCAGTCCAACAATTTGTCTCAAAGAGTTGAGACAATTTTTATGATTCTAATTTGATTGTTATTACCCTAGACCACGATTGAGTTCTATTGCTAGAGCTGAATCAAACTGAAAGTCCATGATCATCCTATTTTGATTGTATATGAGATATGCATGATTTATGTTATTGCATGAGATGCACATTATGATGAGACCACGTAAATATTAAGTTGTGCATGAGATGTTAAGAACGACCACATGTGGTCTTCCACCATTGTAGAGTGGATGCCTTTTCCTTTGATGTGGGTATGAGCGCCATAGACATATGGGTTGCTCCTTCAAGAGAATGCATGGACACCCTATGAAATATTAGATATGGTGAGGTAAGGTATCATCGAGTCCCAAGAACCTATTATGTGAGGGGTTTGGTGATATTCTGCACTTGCTAGAATGGTGGGATTAACTTAATCTTTGAAAATAGTTTTAAATTCTAAGAACCTTTTCAGGATGAGAATAGTGGGACCAACACCTACAATAATTGTATGGTGAGAGAAGTTGCGTACAGTTAGATATATATGAGATATCTAAGAACCTTTTCAGGATGAGAATGTCGGAGGGACAACTGGTAAATGACTACTGCCTTAAAATGATAGATCACATTGAATAGCTTGAAGGACTAGGATTTGTGTTGGACCCCGACTTGGCTATCGTCTTGATATTGATAAACTTTCACATGAACAAGATGGAGTGTATACCAGCCAAAATCCTGAACATGTCACTATAGAGGGCTCCATAAAAAGCCAAATGGAAAGAATATGATCCTAACCATGGACAATGCTTCAGCTTCAAAAGGAAAGTCCAAAGAGAAGTAGGTTCCAAAGGCTAGGAGAGGGATGAAGAAAAAGGGAAAAACTTAAGACACTAAGGGGGCGTTCTTTTTTTGATTTTTGGAGGGGGAAAAGTTTGATTCTCATTGATCAAGATATCCATGTTCATTTTTCAGATTTATGTGGGACTCGTAAAAGTTTAACTTTTCAATCAAGGGAAAAGTTGCCAATACTTGAATGGGATAAAAATGTCCCTTTTAATAATGGAATTTTTATGGTTAAGATGGCCATTACCTTATTTACATGGGAAATAAAAAGAACATGGGTAAATGCACTTACCTGGACTTACCCAGGGAAGTGTATTTACCCGGGTAAGTAACATATCGAAAAGTGAATGGAGAATAACAAGGGAAAGTGCTTCCATTGTAACAAGGATGGACACTGGAAGAGGAACTGCAAAGAGTACCTTGCAAGTCTAAAAGACAAGGACAAGCCTTCAGAAGGTAAGTTATCATTGCTTATTGTGAAGGCTAATATCACCACCACCTCTACTTGGGTTATAGATTCCACATGTACCTTACACATTTTTATGTCCATATAGTATCTAAAGAGAAGTAGAAAGCTAAGGGACCTTGAGCAGGCCCTACGAGTGGGGAATGGACTAAGAGTTGCTACTTTAGTTGTGGGGAACTGTAGCTTTCCATTGCCATGCATCAGGGTTAAGTTTAGAACTCAATAATTGACTTTATGTGCCAACTATAGTTAGGAATTTGATTTCTTTGTCATTTTTTAGACAGCGAAGATTACCTTCAAGAAAAATAGTTATTCAGTTTATTTTGGAAATAAATTTTATTATTCTTGCATTTTAATGGATGGTATATACCTCATCAATTTGGATGGTTTCTTAGCAAATATAGAGCACGATAACACTATTTCCATTCCTAAAAGGCCAAGAGAACAGATAAATCCCAAGTATATGTGGCACTTGAGGCTAGGTCATATTCGAAAGGACAAGATAAACAAGTTGGCTAAGGATGGACAATTAGGTTCATTCAACCTAGAGCCCTATCCAACTTATGAATCATGGGGAAAGAGCTATAGATGTACTTGCTATCATGCATAGTGATGTATGTGGGCCCTTTAATGTAACTGTTAGGAGCAGATGTAACTATTTCATTACCTTGATCAATGATTATTCACGAATGGGTCATGTGTATCTCATGAAACACAAGTTTAAAACCTTTGAAAAGTTCAAAAATTTCAGAAATAAGGTAAAAAAATAAACCAAAAAGAGTATTAAGGTTTTTTATCATATCGAGGAGATGAATACCTTAGTATTGAATTCTTGGACCACCTAAATGAAAGTGGAATTATCTCATAATGGACTCCACCAGGTACACCAAAATTAAACGAAATATCTAAAAGGAGAATTTGCACTTTGTTGGACATGGTGTGTTCCATGTTGAGTTACACTAATCTCCCCATATTGTTATGGGGATACGCCCTAGCTACTTACCAAAACTTATATACTGAAGAGTGCCTTCTAAATCAGTTCCTACTACATCCAATAAGATGTGGTTTGGTAAGAAACCAAGTCTTAATCACGTTAAGATTTGGGGATGCCCGGATTTTGTAAAGAAACTTGAGAAGGCCAAGTTGGAAGCAAGAGCTGATAATTGGTCAATAGACATGCATGCCATTTTTCTTGAAAAAGTTTATTCAAGAACGGGGCATAGGGAGGGAAGTTTGGCTCAAGGAGTTATCTGATGGGCCTCAAAACCTGCAATATAGGCAACAAGACACTATTTTAGTGGGCCCTGTATATACAACACCCCTACATAGATCTAGTAGAGTTTCTTGCTCTCTAGAGATATCCAGTTTCATCCATGAGGGTATAGAAGAAAGTTTCTTCTATGAGAAAGTGATCGTGGAGATGATCCTACTAGCTATCAAGAAGCGATGTTTGTTAGACATTGATGTGGGAAAGTGGCTTAAAGCCATGAAATTCAAGATAGATTCCATGTACTCTAACGAAGCCTAGGACCTTGTTGACCCTTCAGAAGGAATAGTTCTGATTAGATACAAATGGGTTTTCAAGAGAATGATTGATTTAGACGGAAAGGTAGAGAAATATAAATCAATGCTAGTTGCCAAAGGGAATAATCAAAGACAAGGAATTGACTATGAATAAACATTTTCATCAATAGTCATGTTAAATCTATCAAGATTTTATTTGTGATGGAAATATATCATGATTATGAGATTTGACAAATGGGTTTAAAGACTACTTTTCTCAATAGTTACATTGAGGAAGATATTTATATGGAACACAACCATAAAGCTTTACATCCAACAATCAAATCATAAGGTATGCAAGCTTAAAGATCCACTTATGGATTAAAGCAAGCATCTCATAGTTGGAACATCCATTTTGATGATGTAGTCAAATCATTAGGCTCCACCAAAAACATGAATGATCTATTTGTATACAAAAAAATTAGTGGGAGTGTTGTTGTCTTCCTTATATTGTATGTGGATGACATATTGCTAATAGGCGACGACATTGAGTTAATGGCATTGGTCAAGGTGTGGTTATCATAGAACTTCTTGATGAAGGATCTAGGCAAAGTATCCAACATCTTGGGAATAAAGGTCTATAGAGATAGATCCAAGAGATTGCTTGGGCTGTCCTAGTCTATGTACATAGAAAAAGTACGAATCCCATATGTTTTAGTAGTGAGAAGTTTCATGTATGCAATGCTATGTACAAGGCCTAATATAGCACATGTTGTAAGTGTCAAGGTTCAAAGTATTGGAAACCCTATGCGTATCGAAAGGGAAAATTTAAGAGACGTATCGGGA